ATGAGTTAGATTTCCAACGCATTTTGAATTGCCTCAATCGGATATCGGAATACAAAATTATGATAAAAATACTGAAAGACTGTGCAGCTGCCTGTTTAAAATAAGAAATTCTGTTACGTAGTCCGTTATATTGAGACATATTTTTGGCATAGAAAGTGATCGAATTGGAGAATGATGTCTGAATCAAACTTGTAGCCAGATGGGTTATCTTGCCAACGCATTTTGAATCGCCTCAATCGAATATCGGAATACAAAGTTATGATAAAAATACTGAAAGAAGGTACAGATGCCTGTTTAAAACAAGAAATTCCGTTACATAATCCCTAATATATATATATTAGGTGCAAGCAACGTGCAATACACGTTTGCCTAGTTTATATTTAAGAGCTTATTTGGTAGGGATTTTTTGGGGGAAGAATTGATTTTGAATAGTGATATGATGGGAAATGTGTGGTTGAAAAAGAAGATAAGATTATTGATGTGATGAAAAATATTATTTTATTGAAAAATGTGTGGTTGAAAATGAGAATTGATTTACTGTAGAATTGGAGAATTCGTACCAAACGGGGCGTTAATTGTTTTGTTTAAGAATTAATTTGTTATTAATAAAGATGTAATTTTTTTGGTTAATTAAATAATTAATGATGTAATGTTTATGTAATTGATAAATAATTAGATGTGTGATTTTGATGTTGTGATATAAGTTGGTGAGATCGAAAAAAATAAGTAAAAGTTGACAAATTTGGAGAAAATGGCTAAATTGTAACGGATCCAAAGTTCGGGGATTAAAATATAAATACTTAAAAGTTGTGCCGAACCTCATGATGAGGATTTGAGAGTGCTTGGAGTCAATTGGATAAAGGAAGACGTCAATGGAATCAAATTTAGTCAAAAAATGATCACAAATCAATTTCCAACCGAAAAGTTATGCTCCGATGTTTTAGTCTCATATTGAGACCTATTTTTGGCATAGAAAGTGATCGAATTGGAGAATGATGTTTGAATCAAAGTTGTATCCAGATGAGTTAGCTTTCTAACGCATTTTGAATCGCCTCAATCGGATATCGGAATATAAAGTTATGATAAAAACACTGAATGAAAGTGCAGCTGCCTGTTTAAAACAAGAAATTCCGTTACATAATCCGTTAAAACAAAAAAATCCGTTAGTTTTTCCGTTAAAAACAAGAAATTCCGTTATATAGTCACTTTTAATATATAGAAGATATATAGACAAACACTAATGTCATTGAGTTCTGTACAGTTAGTGTTCACTTGGGAAATTCTTATAGAACGCTATTTAGAGAGATTTGCCTGAAGTTGAGCGCATATGCTCATGAAGGTGAAATGTTAACTCAGTGTTTGTAACCTACATTAATAGAGAGTTGCGTGTTTTTATGAATGACTTGATTGACCACTCCAAAATAATTACGTTAATAAAATATTCTAACCCAAAAATTTCATCAATGGTATTGTATATAAACTATTCACATACAATCCAGGTGAAACAAAATGGATAAGTATACTAAAAGATCAAATGACACATCAAGTATAGCATATGAAGGAACGAATTCACATTAAAGAAATGAAGTCGAGATATAACAACAGCTTTGTCTTTAGAGGTCAAATCACTCTCTGATCTGATATATCCTATGCTAAACTACAACGATGTAGAAATACATGTCAAAGCTGTCAAATGCACGTCAATACAAACTGAACAAAGTTTAGGAGCATCTCCAGATTTATATCACTTATTATCTTGAAAGAAAACCATCATGCACTGTGGGTAGCAACTCGTGGATACTTCAATGTTTAGACAGGTCTGCAACCTTATAATCACCTATTTACTGAATCCTCTTAAGAGTGTTGACATAAGTATAACTAGAAAACCACACAAAAAGCTTTCGAAACCTGCAATAAGAACCGACGAGAGAGAAGAAATCACTGTGTATTTCAAACCAGTAACAATTGTTATCAGTCTACTTATCTTCCTAATTCTTCCTAACCTCCTCTAAGCCCATCTTCCTGCCCCACCAAGACCACCCTACTACCCAAATATTAAACTGAGGAGGCCATGAAGCCTTCTCCATTAGTGTTGCTTATGTTAATCATCTAAATAAAAATTTAAAGTTTTGAGTATACAAACCAAATCCATTGGCTTCTGTTTTGAGCCATTGCAGCATAAGTCTTACTGGGATCTTCATTGAGCAAGCATTGTAATTGTCTACTTTCAAAAAACCAGGCAAATAACTTGGATAACCAGATATGAGATATCTACCGGTCCACTGTACTTGCGGAATATGCTCGTACTCACCTGAAAATGATGAAAATAATAACCACGGTTTAGCAAATTAAAAATTTAAAAATTTAAAACGGGAAGTCACATGTGTTCAGGTTTCTCCCTCCCAATCCCAAATGGAGAACTTTCAGATTCTGTACTCTATATTGACAGTCATTGAATTGGCAAACAACTGAACACAGAATATAGACAGAGGGGAGAAAGAATAGCTTACAAGCTCCCAGGCTTTGGGAGGTCTTTCTGAAAAATCATGCAACAGCTTTCTGCATTATGCACAAGGAAGAACCTAATTAATTATGTTTCTTAGTTTGATGTTACCAGGCACCAGCAACCATTACAGATAATTTCATAGTGCATCAGGTTTTAGGAACCACTACATAATTGAACTACATAAAATACGATAGAACCATACTGATCGTAAGTCCTCATTAAACAGAGAGGAAGAAACAAATACGTTTTTATCACTGTCAAAAGAACAGAAAAATAGACTTTCGGAACTTATTCAGTACTAAAGTAGCAAATCAATAAAACGAGACTTCATTCCCTTGCTAAACACAAACATGACAAAAGATAAGGACATATGAGAAATTACTGTACACCTCGATGCACGTCACGATGGTTACAGTGACCAGAGACACCATAGTCATCAAATGTAATGATCTGGAAAAATTAAACAGCGATTATGCATTGCCAGATTAAGCATTTCAAGATAGAAACACAATAAATCTGTTATTAAAGCAGGACTGAAAGACCTAAAATTGTGACCAGAAAAACCAAATGGATGAAAAAGCTAGCAGCAATTTGGATCACTAAAACCAGTTCTTACCAAGTCAATAGCATGGGCACGAATTTCGTCCTCAACAAATTCTGCTATTAGATTCCAATCCCATACTTTACCAAAACCATCCTAATCAAGAATCACATGATATAAGTACCTCCATCTAAATCTACAGTGCAAAAAAATGAATCAAATTTTTGAGATGCTTCAAAAAGAACCTGCAAATTTGGATGGTCCAGAATCTTCACTTGCTGGTGAGGAATCTGTACAAACAAAATAAAATAATAATCATGATACGTGTACATTATTTTTGACATCATAGTTGACCAAGTGGCTTAATCTACACCATTGATTTTGAATTTGAAATTCCATCACCACACTGCCCCCTCTTCACATAGGGGGGGATGTCACTTTGGATGTCCACACTGTACATCCAGCTTTATCCATAAAATAAATTATAGATAAAACAACCAATACCAGGTAAAGTTTTTACTGGAGACCACAGTCAGTGTCTATCTTCGAAATGAACTAGTAAGAACTTAATTCTAGTAGTATTCAATAAAACAATAGGGCAGACACTTCAAACCCAAGCACCATAAGCACAAAAAATTCAGATTATACAGATGAAAACCAGTCGCTTACAAAACACCACCTTGATTATTGCGGAGGCCAGAAAGAGTTCTTCATTTCTAATGCTACCCTTCCCATCTGCGTCGCCTTCACAAAAACAAAATTTCAACATCTTAAGGAAATAAACAAGATCTCAGTTGAAACGAGTAAAATTAAAATTAAATTCCATAGATTTTCCGAAGCAGGAAATTATCCTAATCAACTTAAAAGTTATGACCCACAAAATACAGTTTAACAGATCAAGTGTTGTTAGATAACGTTGATCTTTTTCTCATAACTATATTTTCATTGTTAATAATAAAAGAACCTTTGAAATATAGTATGTTGCATCCAATAGAATTTTTGTTTTGACCCTTAAAAGAAGTTAAATTGACAGCTTTAATTATCTCAATCCAAGGAAGCAATTTGCTTTACAAATGATTCTGATAAGCCCAAGTCCCCAATTAAATTCACTTACACAAAACGCAAGAGACCGAGCAAGCACATGGAGAAGATAACTATATGACAGCATGGCACAATAGCAGTTTCTAGAAAGCTAGGGTCACTCTTTGTTGTTAGAGGTTGTTAGTCATTTTGTTGGAAGTCAGTTAGAAGCAGGGTATATGTAAGGGAGTGGGGAGAAAGAAGAAGACCGAAAATGATTAGTGAGAATGAGGGGGGTCAGTCTTGAATACTGAGTATCGTTACTCCATTCTATGTTTATTTTCCAGTCATATTAAATACTATACAGAAAATTCCCAAAGTCTATCTTCTTCCATTATTTCTCTTAATTTATTCTTGCAGCTGAGAGACAAATATCAACCTGTACTGATGTTTAATCCTGAAACAGCACAAAAATCAACCCATCATCCCATCAGATTCACATGCGCAGATATAGCTAATAACGACCTCCATAAATTCCATAGGCTTTTTCAGTAAACACACTTAACGTAAATATCAGCAGAAAAGGCCTTGGAGATTACTTGATAAGCAACACGAAAGTACCAGTAATTTCAAATCAGATCCCATCATCAAAATTTTCAAATGTTAAACAGATTCATTTTCCTATATATATTGTTGAACTGGAGACATGAATAAGATTGTACGTTCAGGTTTTTTGAATGTAATAAGTTGAAAATTTTCAAATCAGGTTAATTTTATAGACCCATTACAAAAGTATCTGATATGATAAAAAGAGAAGTCCTATGATAATGGACAAAAAATTCATGAACTTGCAGCAGTATTACCAGTTGACAAGCATAGTATGTAAAGATTATGTCCCCTCGAAGTTAGGTAATTAATGGCTGGAGTAAACAACCTGCAGAATCCAATACAAGGTTTTACAAATAAATCCAATATCTATAATTTCGTGTGGGCAAAAATTGACTAAAGAAAATATGATAGAATGAATAATTTTCTGAATGGTACAAGCTCTTTTCAAGATATTTCTTAGTATAAATCGGTCCACATTTGACTCTTTACTGTTTAAATTCTGTTTTTTCATACCGTTCAAATGATGCCAACAACGCCCACCGTGATAATGACCGGGAGCTATTTTCTTTCTTTTAGTACAAAATTAACATAATCAGTAAGTAACCATAGAAGACATGCTTTGTCATAAATGACAACAAGTAACCCATTCATCGGGGTCAATTACATGGATATTTTTTCCTTGTCTCACTGATAGAGAACTACCTCTTCTTGAAGGCTCAAAATACCAACTCTTTTACAAATTAATTCATATATTAAGGCACTAACATTCCTATTGTTTTAATGAGAATTCACCACTGCAGCAAAGTACAAATCCCAAGAAACAAATAAATAACTTAATAAAATAAAGTGGGTATTTGATATTCGAACACCAGGCAGCAAAGTTCTATCATTAATGTAAACTGGAGTAAAACAGAAAATTTTGGAATTCAAACCTACATGGACTCATCATCAGGATGCGCAATAACCAATAAGACATTTCTCCTTCCAAAAACACTTCCTGGCAGCAAACATACACATAATAAACATGAAAAAACTTATTTAAAGGCAAAATATCCATATCCATATCTACACAGTTATACACAAACAAAATCCATTACCATCATTTAAGAATGCAGCTTTGGCATCGTGGAAGGATCCACGAAAAATTTTGCAAAGAGAAGCGACCCAGAGAACTATTAATGATATGATGATAATTAGCCATGCCATGTAGAACTCTCCACCAGGAACCTAAATGATAATGTTGTAATTTGTTGTTGATTTACTGAGGCATTTCATCGAACAAGTTTACTTCATGTCGCCTGTCCCATTAAAACCAAATTCACTTCATGCTTCGCCAGTCCCATTCAAACCATTACTATATGACTCATTAATAATTATAACGGGAATGATTTGTGTACGTGCAGGACAGAGCCTGGAAATTATTTCAGTGCAGGCGGGACTTAATAAAGATAAAAATAAAGAAATAATGAAGCAAGACAACAATGCAAGAGGATAATGGCTTCTACCTAATAGTGATATCGAGAGCATAGTAACATTCAACAATACGTAAACCAAACGAACAGATATTGACACATTGGGAATTTAAAAATGTAATCAAATCATAAGGGAATACATATTACAGAGTGAGAATTGCAAGTAATATGCGAATGCAAAGGTCAAATCATATGCAGCAAACGCTATTAACCCCACCCTAAAAAATAGCCTCATTCTTAGGTGGATGGTGTTATATATAGAGGGGCTTTTTCCAAAATAGTCGGGTATAATAGATCCATTTGGGTTTTTGTAGAAAAGTCTATTTTACCCTCAATGAGATATATTTCTTTATTGCAAGACATATCCTTCTTTTATGAATAATTTTTAGAGATTAGTATCTTATATTTTTGAATCTAACAAACAAATCCACCCTTCGTTGATTCTAACAAATAGATTCATCATTTGATCTAATAAATTATCATAATCTATAATCTTTTGTTTATATTCAGTCATAAGCCTCTTATATTCTTCAGATGATCTATCTCTATTTTTTCTAGTTGGGATTTAATATTTTTTATTTTTTCTAAAATTCTTTCTAACAAATCATCTAATCCTTTTACTGTATATCCTGATATTTTTAAATATTATGAACATAGTGAAATGATAATAGTTCAAACATCATAAATAATTTTAAACATAAACATTTAAATGAATAATTCCTACGATTCTTTAAAATCTCAGAAGAATTCTTTCCAAATTTAACAAAAATAATAGTTTTACCTTAGTTTTGATCTCAAGCTTTTATCCTCAGAACCAAGTGACCTTCAGGCTCTAAATATGCAAACTGTTCCCTCCAACAGCCTCTTGCCTCAACGGGATCTTTGCTATTTCAGCTTCTTGCCTTCACTGTATCATTCCTTAGAATTAAAACTATAAATCCTAAATCAAGAAAACTCTATTTTTGTTAAAGTAACAAATAAATTTCTTTTTTAATTTTTCAAGAATCTATGGGAAAAGTAGTTTAGAAACTCATATCCATTCAAGAGTATTGAACGATATTATCAAAATCGATAGTATTGATATCTTTGAAATCTGGTACAAGATTCAAACAGAAGATTTAACTTTCAAGTTGAGTGCTCAAATTTTCTCCCCAATTCGTTCTGTTTTTCTCTTAGCCCGAAGGCCTCTATTTATACATCTAATTGAGCTAAAATTATTGGCCTCTTACTAAATAATTTGTGCTTTTACATCAAGAGCCTACCGGCCCCTCCACTATAGTCACGTCTTCTTTAAGAGATTGTTTTTATATGCAGTTGTCCTCCATTGGTCACATCTTCCTTATCTCTTTGTAATCTCCTTTTTTGTTTTGTGGGCAAGTGGGGAAATCTCTTGCTTCACATGCACGTTGTAAGGTTGAGATGCATCCTAATATATGATGGGTATCAAATTTGTTGATAAAGTATCTGAGGATTTCAGACTTTTGCTGTCCATCATTAGCAAGTAGGGTTCATCCTTCATATTGGCATCGACATCTAAATCTTTTTGCATAAAAATATTTGGCATGTTATAGAGAACTTTATATCCAAGAACTCTGCGGTTCTTAATCCATGCTCTGGTAAATTTCGGTAATGATTTGTTAATTTCTCCAATGTCCATGGTGAAATTTCTTCCAACATATCCAATTGTTATAATGTGTCCTGCTGGATAGAATATTCCTCCGTCAACTTCTAGACTGATGGTATAAAATTTTAGATAAACGGATCTCCCTTGGGCATATTTGAAAATTTCAGATTTAAATATATTATCAAATCTTTCAAGTTTTTAAAGATTTTTATCTAGATAAATTAAAATATAAGTATCCACATTCGGCTACCATTTTTATCATCGTTGGCTCAGATCCTTTCATCATTACTATCCTTGGGTAAATGTGATCTCCTGGTGAAACAAAATATGAATCACTTGTTTGTAATTCATACATCATTTTAGTAATCATTTTATATTCGTCTTCTTTTGGAGACAAATGGACTTCATCATCTTCATTTGGTTATATTCTGATAGATTTAGTATGTCCTTCATTGATAACAATTTTTTTAGGATTTTGAATAATAATATCCTTCTTTGGTTCACTGTTGTTTCCTCTTGGTGGATCACTCCGAGTTTGTACCTGTTTGTTATCAACATGTTTGTATCCAATAGTATCTTTGGTATCCAGTGATCTTAATTGAGCTTCAATAGCTTCAATTCGATCAATAATATCATTGATAACTTTCATATGCGATGAACTTATTTCCATCATAATGTTTACATTATGCTGTAAAATTTTGTTCATCTTGTCCATCCCAAATTTGATATCTTCAACTTCTTCCCTGACATAAATAGCCATGGATTTGAGCTCATCTAGTATCCTTTTGGTATTATCCATCTGCAAATTCAATATTTCTGCTTAAAAAATCTAAAAGAAAATTGTTAATTCCTTTAATATGAATTATCTCAAAATTATAGAATGATATGTATGCTTGCCATCTGTGTAATATCCTATATTGAGGTTCCATTGGTAATTTATTTCTAATTAATCCTGCAATTTGAGAATTATCAGTTTCAACAATGATTTTTTTGGATAATAAGAATAATGAAAACTTTTTTATTCCTCTAATTATTACTAGTAATTCTTTTTCATGTGTGGTATAATTTATTTATGCTTGATTGAATGTTCCACTTGAATATGTGCAAATTTTATTCAAATCTGTTTTTAATATGGCAGCCCAATATTTATTTGAGGCATTCGTATTGACAACTAAATTGTCTATTTCATCTGATAATCTCAATTTGGTAGATTCTTACATTCTTCTTTTAATGTTTTGACAATTTGATTATGCCCAAAGTATAACGCGGTATTGTAATATAGTTTTGGGGTGTCTTATCCACAGGGAGATGGAAAAATTCTTAAATGTTCAAAATAGAATAAATTTCTCCTCTTAAACTTGTAGTAAATTCAATATTGAAGTAACAAAGTTAAAATCAATAATTTGAGGTAGTGAAGCGTCGGAATTCCCTCAATTGGACCAGATCATTCAAATCAATTATTCAATTTTATTACTGAATCCATGAAAAATCTAATAAGAATTAAACCAATTTCAATCTAAATTTATAAAAATATAAGTCTAAATTTCAGAATTGTTTAGCAATTAAAAGAGCAATTAAATGAATAAATTGATGCGAAATCACCGAATCCAATGAGTTTCTTCCTTGCTTCACCTAGGATTTTAGTTCCTCATGAGTTTCTTGAACCAAAAGTGATTAAAGAATGGTGTAGGATGAATAATGATGTGTTCTGGGCCGTTCTAGGGTTTAAATATGGTGGAAAATTAGGTTTCTATACGTGTTTCAATCAAACAAGGAAACTGAAAAAATTTCGCATTTTGGACAGCCTCAGTCGAGGTTTTCTTGGTGTGAGACGCGTGCCTCTCGTGCAGGCAAAGGCGCACGTCTTGCAATGTGTTTAGGCTATCACGTTTTTTCTTGATGTTCGATTGAGTTGATTCAAGTTACGTTAGAAAGATAACTCAAAGGGTTACAACTTTATTTCAAAGATCATCTTCAAATTCGATCGTTTTCCATGTCAAAAATCGGTATCAATATGAGATTGAAAATCGGTGCAAAACTTTTCAACTTGAAAGTTGATATGTGACAATGTTTTGGTTATATTTCATCCATTTGACTCCTTTCTTCATCCAATTGACCTCTAAAACTCTCAAATCTCCATCGTAAGGTTAGAAACAAGTTAAAGTTTTCGTATTTTAGTTTCTGAACTTTTGATTTCCTCCATTTTGGTCATTTTTCACTTGTTTCTTCTTATTTTCGCTACATTCATCATTTGTCCCGTAAAATATGAATTGTATAGAATTAAGATATATTCCAATATATCAATCAACAATTTCTTATGTTTTGACAGTAAAATAATTATGTAAAAATGCACTTATCAAACTCCCCCAAACTCGAACTATTGTTTGTCCTCGAACAACAATAATATAACTCAACTCTACAAACAACGTGGTTTAATAATATGTCATATCTCAGGTTTGAAATTTGGTAGTCAAACAAATGAACAATTACAACAGTCAAAAAATTAAATCAGTCTCCACCTGTTACATGCATAACCCGATGTGTGTGTGTGTGTGTGAAAACTCATATTAGCATATGAAGATTGTGAATGGTTCAGCACTTGTCCCAAAGTAGTCAAATATATCATTTTCTCACTCGAGAGATACACACACTCCCAAATTTATTATTTTCACTCATTTTTCCCGGGGTACATCCTAAATTCAACTTTTCAATTCTATTCCTTATCCTCTCGTAGTTTGGATAGATCTTACTCCTACAAGTTCACATTTCAATAAGCCGAGATTCTCCTATATTTCTGATTGCTTTAACCCTTAAGACTAGACTAAGTTACAACTTCTCATCAAATGTGTAGTTTTGTCAATTGGACGCTTGGGGCATAATCAATGTATTGAGCGTATGTTTTTTTTTCTCTTTCATGTTTTCTCCATTTTTGTTTTTTCATTTTTTNTTAATTTATTGAAAAATAGAATTTTACAATAGCTGAGACTTTAACTTTTACAATGACGAGAATTTCTATTTTCACCTGCATTTCATTTGAATCCGCTACTACACATTTATAGGCACACATAGGCGATGAAATTAATTCTAGAGTTTTCTGATTTTTCCTTATT